GGCCAGCAGTGGCACTAGTTAACTAATACCACTACTGGCCTTCGGGGTCGGGGCACTGGGTCGACGGAATTCCGTCGACCAGTGCCCCCGACTCTCGACCGCCACCCGCAAGTAAACAGACTGAGTAGCGCTGCAGCACATTTATTCGGGCACGAGAACGAGAACGAGAACAATAACAACGCCAGGACAATAACTATAACTTTAACAACAACAACAACAACAACAACAACAACAACAACTAACTGAATAATTTTCAATAAGGTTTCTTAAATAACCACCATCAAACATTTGTGATTTTTTCATTAGCTCTGCACCGGCGGCAGTCGCGGGGTGCAGGTAGGCCAGGACATTGGCCCCATTCTTTACCAGAGAAGTCTGTAATGGGTGAAAAAAACGAATATTAACATTATTATTATCATAAGGCATACCAATCTGGAAAATGATTAAATTAAAGTTGAATAAAGTGATAGATTCCTGCCACAAGCTAGCTTAAGTCCCAAACAATATAGCTATTCTGACTTGGATAGACGATACCGGCGCACTTCTGCCAACGACGGGCAAACATTATGCGATACTATACATCTTCTAGCTCAACAACATAATAACTTTTGTTTACAAATGGACAACCTTTTTGTTGAGCACACAGCAAATGATACAAGATGCCTCACCTTCAATCAAGCCAAAGAGCAGTTGGGCAGACACACACAGTAATGGCGACGCAACACAAAATGGACGCCGGCTCCCGGAAGCGGGGGGGGGGGACTCCTTCTGAAAGCTGCCACAGACTCCTAGGTTGTAACATGCGACGAGGATAGCTATGAGGCACATCCTCATAGCCATCCAAAGCCGCTGACCACGCAAGCTTGCCAGCACGTTTACCAGCTGCAGGCGTTCGTGACAACAAGCGGGGTTGCACGCAAGGTTATCCGTTTAGTAGGTGCCAGCCGGGGCCTCGTCAGCTGAGCTAATAGCGAAATGACCTAATTGAGGGACACGCTAAAAACTGGCCGAGAACAAGCAAACGACGGGTAACACTGTGAGGCTGTGCGTAGTTCATTAATACTGCGCAAAATTAGGTTCCTGAACATGTTCTCGCTCGTAGGCATTTGTTCCACAAGCGGCATTGTTAACGTGCATGGCTCTGACTACTAATGTCCATATATGTTGTAACGAGGAGCAAGGGAGGCACTCGTAAAAAATGCCTAATTTCAAAATTAGCTAGTGAATATTTTTTACAGTGTACTGAAAGTTTGGTGACGATCAGCCATTAGCGTCGCCACGGGGGGGCAAGCGGGGCAGCTTGCCCCCCCCCCCCCAACCTCGGACCGGGCACCCCCTGAGATCGATACAGATCCGATGAGATTAAGGGGTCGGGAAAAATGGGGGTACCTTTCTGAGAATGCCTGTGATGTCAGACTCGGGTGGGGCGTGCAGTTCAAACAAGAGTCGGAGTCGCAGTCGCCAAAATCTTCAAGACTCCGACTCCAGATTCAGAAATGTCAATGCTGTGATTCATTCCCTGTTCCTAGTTGGTTCTTTATTACATTCTATAGCTGATTTTCATAAGTTTTGGAGTGCTGACACATAATTTTCGTTCAAAGCGTGACACGAAATCTTCGGGACCTTTCTCAATTCTTGTCAAATGTCTGCGACAGGCTCAAGTATTGTTCAAGTGTCGCAGGGCTCATGAGCTAGCTTTTCACACAGGCTCCTAAGGAGCTTTACTGAGCTCTAAGAAGCTTTCAGAGGGCCCACACCGGCCTCTGAGAGTCCCACTGGTGGCCATGGTCTCTGAGGGCCCGTACAGGGATCTTTGAGGATCTTATACATACGTAGACCTCTGAAGGGCCACACGGATCTTTGAGGATGGCTTGGAAAATTTCTGAGAACTTTAACTGGCCTCTGATAGCTCAGCCGAATTTTTGAGGCGACAGACTTAACTAACCCCAAGCCGGCATATGAGGGGTCACAACTCACGTGTCCCTCTGAGAGCCGCAACACATGTTTCTTATGTCCCTACGTAGCGTCCTAAGGGATTCGACAGTCGACACAGACCCCGATGGTTCACACTGTTATCCGAGGGCTCCAAGCTCACCCTGGGCCTATTCGCTTAGCGCCCGCCACCCACACTGGCTTCTGAGGGCCCCACCTTGGGCTCAGAAAACCCTAAAGCACCACATATATGTAAATATTTGGGGTGACCCACGCCGATATCCGGGATCCTAAGCAGGCTTCTGACTTCTGAGAGTCCAAACTGACCGTGAGTGGCCTGAAATGGCCTGGAAGTACCAAGCCTATCTAAGGGATCCCTTGCGCTATGCCGTGCGTAACTTTTGGTTTCGTTAAACATTTTTTGTTAACGTTTGCAGCGATTCCCTTCACACGAAAAACGAGAAACTTTTTGTTCACACTCGAGTGATCAAAACACTTCCACTCACGGGAGCAAAGATGAAATTACTTCCGATTTACACTTCCGACATTCACTCTCCGCCGAATGCCCAACTTAGCTACAATCGGCGGCTGGGATAAGCCCTATGCATTTCATGTAAAACCTCTGCATGCATGAGTGAATGGAGTTTTAGCAGGGTGATGCAATTATAATGGACCGTTTTTCATCATTTTGCTGGGTGATGATCGAGCGACGAGCGTCTGCACAGGGGCCCTCGGTGCGTTGGCAATTGCAGCCACTGTAATTCTACCGGTGGTTTTTGTCAGGAAATTTCAAAATTTCGAATTTTTCTGTTTAAAAAAATACATGTCATAGCTAGAAGGAAAACTTTTGTCACCACCGGATTCCTCGCACTATTGCGCGTCGAATGATATGTAAAACGAGTGAGTAGCGACTGGGGAAAGGCAAGATTTAACACAAAAGTTGATTTTGCCCCCCCAACCGAAAATCTCTGGCGACGCCTATGCGATCAGCGCAGCGGTTCTGGAGATATATCGAAAAAAACTAAGGGGGGGGGGCAAAAATGCCCCCCCCACCGCCTGGAAGGTTAAGGCATCAACAAAACTCAGAAAAGGTCAAAGGAAACAAATACTAGGGGAAGCCGGGGGAAGCCCGGCATAGTAAGCTCTTTCTCATTTTTATTACATACCATACGTGCTGTATAAAATGTTGATATCCAGCTAGCTAGCTAAGTTCATTGGCCGTGTTTTCCCAAAAAATTCGGTTTCGTGGAATAAGTATAAGGTTGAGAAAATCGAGTTTTAAAAAAGTGTTGATTTTTCTGGGGTAAGCCCGGCATAGGGGTAACGCCGGCCACCTCCCCAGCGCTTTACAACGAGTTGATGAAAACATTATGGGTTTTCCAAATATTAACGGAAAGTGAAATATTAACCCTCGCCGGCCGAGGGGGGGGGGCGGGTGCCGCCCCCCCCCCCATAGGGTTTTTTCGCGATAGCTCCGAGCACGCTGGCGATAGAGAGCTGAAACTTGGCATACCTGACCTTTGATTCAAGCCGGATCTTTTGACACCAACCGCATTTTTGGGTCAGGTCAGGTCACTGACCTATGACGTCATAAGTGAACCTCTGCACGGTCTTCAGATGTCGCAACTTCGCAACGCCCTCACTGCCAGAGGAGATGTCACAGGGAAATGAAACTTGCAGGATCTAGTATCCATTATGAGTCTCACAACTTGTATATCTCGGATTTTTCCTAAAGGTCATATGAGGTCAGGTCATTTTCGTGACCTCACCATTATAAGTCAATGGGGAAAAATTCAAACTGCTATTCTGGCACCGGGAACGATCTCCAACTATCTCAAGCACACAGAATCGTGATTTGATGCACTCCTTGCAAGGTTAGATGCGTCACTTTTGCAATGTTGACCTTGCGTGACGTCATTTATGACGTCATCAAGGTCATATTAGTTTTTCGTCAATAACTCCTGATCAAATTGAGCTAGCGAGTCGGGAAAGCCACCAATGGACTCAGGAAGACCTGCCGAATCGAATGATATGCGACATGACCTATTTCGGCCAACTTCGTGACCTGGGGGTGCTGACCTGACCTTGACCTGAGGTCAACACCCCAAGTTGACCTGACTCGGACAAAAAGTATATCATTCGACGCGCCTGAGCGAGGCAAACACGATGCTGCCAAAATCGGCGCTCTGCGGTCGTTTTTTGCGAAGTTATTCACCAAAAACTGAACCGTACCTTGGGGCACTTGACCTGACCTCAGAGGTCACCGGTTGAACTAGGACCTTAAAATCGGGTACCAATCTCTGCGTCTCGTAACGGCGCACACGCTCGTTTTTCCCGCGACGCGCTAGCTCCACCAGGGGCGAAACGGCGAGGGGGGGGGGTCGTACCCGCCCCCCCCCCCCCCTCGGCCGGCGCGTATGTAGAAAACCAATAGGTCCGGCGAGGGTTAAGGTACTGATTAGCTCTGGACATCTTAGAGTTTATGTCACTACTGGTATTTTAGCTAGCGTCTACTACATATACAGTACAGGTCGATGAAAATCGTGATGCAAAATTGAAAAAAATGTGTATTTCAAAATTCCTTAAAATTTATTTTTCTTTTTACCTTACTGCATCATATTGCATATCATTCGACTCGGCTGATGAAGAAGAACACAACGACACCATTTTTGAAGCTCTAGCTTCATTGTCTGTCGCGTTATCTGCAAAAACGTAGTTTGACCCTAGTTGACCTTAAGTGACAATGACTGGCTTTGTCTATGATAACATGTTTATTTTCGAAATTTATCTTTGATCTAGGTGTAAACCAAACCTGCTCAGTACCTATTATCTCATGGAAAACAGTGGTTTAGTGGCATTGCTCTCGGTTGGTGTGTGATGTGTGTGTGATGTGTGAGCCATGGTTCAGCGGGCTTTGGCCCGTAACAGCCGCCGCCCGCCAGGTGTGGAAGTGGGCGGGGCCTGGCCGGCAGTCGGAGTCGTGGGACGGCCGGGAGTGGATGTGCCGCAGTTATGGTCGAGCATTGATATATATATATATACAATCAGTTACAAGCTATTTCGGCAATATGGCCAGTTTTGACGTTAAATTAATCCCAGAGTTCGATGGGTCAGACGGAGCGTGCGTTCTCGAGTGGATAGAGAAGATCGAGATGGTGTGCACGCTCTCCCAGCGCGCAGGAGAAACGGAGACGAGACAAGAGGTCGTCATTCCGCTGAGACTGAAGGGAGGCGCGCTGTCTGTGTATCGCCAACTGCCAGAGGAAGACAGGAAGGACCCACAAAAGATCAAAAACGCTCTTAAAAGGGCTTTCGCGCTTGACAAATTTACGGCCTACGAGCGATTCATGGACAGGAGGCTCCGTGGCGGAGAATCAGTGGACGTTTACGTGGCTGAACTTCAGCAGCTCGCGGCCCTTTTTGGGGGAATGAGCGAGGAAGGCTTGTCCTGCGCCTTTGTGGCTGGCCTCCCGATCGCCGTGAAACAGGTCCTGAAAGCTGGAGCCAGGGTCGACTCGCTGTCTCTCGGCGAGCTCGCAGACCGGGCTCGTGCAGTGCTCCGTGAAGAATCTGAGGCGGCGGCCATGTTGGCCGGCACACGTCGGATGCAGGTGGCGCCGCCCGGCGGCCGCGGCGTCAGGCGGCGGGGGCCGTGCTTCTCCTGCGGTGAAATCGGCCACGTCGCACGGGATTGCCCCCGATCCGAACACCTCGGGAAGAGTCAGCAACAGCCAGCACCGGGACGTGGCGGTCGGCCGGCCCCTGCACGCGAGGGTGGACTCCCCGCCCTGCAATGCTACGGCTGTGGAGTGTGGGGGCACATCGCTGCCCGTTGCCCAAACGGCGAGCGAGGGGAGGCGCCTGCGCCGGCCTCCTCTCGGGACTGAGCTACCTCACCGGCGCGCTTCCAACCAGGGAGCTGGAGATCGGAGGGTCGCGGTGTCGACGTGTGGCACTGATCGACTCTGGGTGCACTCGGACCCTAGTGCACGAGTCGGTGTGCCACCAGTGGCGGAGGAGCGCGGCAGAGGTGATCACAGTGAACGGCCAGCGGCTGCAGTGCGAGGGCGCCGCTGAAGTTCGGCTCGCGGTGCCGGGCTGCCGCGCAGTGGAGGTGAGCGCCCTTGTTATAAGGGAAAGGCCCCTCGGGTTTGCGGTGATCGTGGGAATGGACGCTATCCGGTCGCTGGGGGGAGTGACCGTGCGCTCGCCCTCTGACGTGCAGTTCGGATGCGAGTTATTCGGCTCGAGCGTGAGTGATGTGCAGTTCGGACGTCGGTCGGTGGCGTGTGCTGCCACAGGCGAGGAGACGGGATTGAGAATCGAGAAGGAAGACTTTGTGGTGACGTTCGACCCGACCCGGCGGCGGTGGGTGATGTCGTGGAAGTGGGCTGGCGGCAGAGCGCCGGGTAAGCTGGGCGGCGCGGTGGACGAGTATCCGGTGCCGGAGGAGGCACGCGCCGAGTACGAAGCTGAGCTGGAGAACTGGATCAGAGACGGCTGGCTAAGTGAATATGACGAGGAAGAGCTGGGTCCGGCCATGGGCTCGATACCGCTGATGGCGGTCATGCAGCGGACAAAAGTGAGGCCTGTGATGGACTTTCGATCTCTGAACAAGCACGTGCCAGCCTTCACTGGTGACGCGGATGTTTGTGCAGAGCGGCTACGCCGGTGGCGCCAGATGGGAGCGTCCGTGGCGCTCCTGGACCTGAAAAAGGCTTTCCTTCAAGTTCACGTCGAGAAGGCCCTCTGGCCATACCAGACTGTCTGGTTCAGGGGCAGGAGATACGCGCTGACCAGGATGGGGTTCGGCATCAGCGTCGCCTCGTCGGTGATGCAGGCGGTGCTGGACCTGACCGTGGCTCAGGACCCGCGGGTTGCGGCGGCCGTCTCCACCTACGTGGACGACATCCTGGTAAACGAGGACAAACTGCCTGCCACCCAGGTCGCCGAACACCTCCAAATCTACGGGCTGGAGAGCAAAGCTCCACAGCGAGCGAGCGACGGCACCCGCATCCTCGGGCTGAGAGTCTGGGGAGAGCCCGATGGAGATTTGCGGTGGGGCCGAGACAACGATGTCAAGAACGTGCCGAAGCCGCTGACGAAGCGCAAGGTGTTTTCCATCTGCGGGCAGCTGACAAGCCATTACCCGGTGTGTGGCTGGCTCCGCCCGGCCGCGTCATTCGTCAAACGACTGGCGAATGAAACGGCGAGCCGCTGGGATGACCCCATTGAAGGGGGTCTCGTGCCGCAGCTGGTTGAGGAGCTGGTGGCCAGCGTGAACGCCGCCGACCCAGCCAGGGGGCGCTGGAACGTGAGCGGCGACACAATGACAATATACACCGACGCGAGCTCACTGGCACTCGGTGTGACTGTCGAGGTGGACGGTGAGACGGTGGAAGACGCCAGCTGGCTGCGCCGGGCAGACGACGCGGCTCACATTAATCTCGCCGAACTGGACGCGGTTCTAAAGGGCGTCAACTTGGCCCTTCAGTGGCGAGTCACTGATATGGACATGGTCACAGACTCGCGCACAGTGTGGCAGTGGGTGTCAGACGCGCTCAGTGGCAGGGCGCGTCTCAGGTCCAAGGCGGCGTCAGAAATGCTCATCAGAAGACGGCTATCAACTCTCAAAGCCTTGAAGGATGAGTACGGCCTGAGCATTCGCATCAGGTGTGTGCCCTCAGCAGCCAACAAAGCCGACGCACTGACCCGGGTGCCTGGGAAGTGGCTGCGCGAGCGAGACGCTGCAGGGTCGCTCCCCGATGTGACCGTGGCGCGCAGTATCGCAGCCGCCGTGTCGGCGGACCCGGCCACCGGCGGCCGGCGACAGCTGGCCGGCAGCGCGGCAGACAGAAATCTTCCCGGCTCTGCCAGCGCCGGCCCGGCGGCGGACAGGTCGGCTGAGCCGCCGGCCGCGCCCGGCGAGACCGGAGCGGCGAGCAGCGAGACGCCGACGGCCGCCACCGCTGGCTCGGCCGCGGCGAGTCAATCTACAGGCGAGGACGGCGACTCGACACGGAGAAAGATCAGTGAGATTCACCACACGGCCGGACACCCGGGCGTCCGGAGAACATTTTATTTTGCGAGACGAGTGCTGCCGGGAGTCGCAAAGAGTCTGGTTAGGAGTGTAGTGTCTAACTGTGAACTCTGCCGTTCTATTGATCCTGCGGCTGTGAAGTGGCGGAAAGGGGACCTGAGTGTGGAACGGGTGTGGGACAGAGTGGCGATGGATGTGACCCATGTGCGGGGCAGGGCATATCTGACCTTGATAGACTGCGGCCCGAGCCGGTTCTCCATATGGCGCCCGTTGAGGCTGCAGACGAGCTCTGCAGTGGTCGAGCAGCTGACCTCAGTATTTTTGGAAAGAGGGGCGCCGAGAGAGCTACTGGCCGACAATGACCCCGCGTTCCGCAGCCGAAGGTTTCATGCCTTTGTGACAAACTGGGCGGTACAGCTCCGCTTCCGCTGTGCGCATGTGGCGTCAGGAAACGGCGTGATCGAGAGATGCCATCGTAGCATTAAAGTGATCGCTGCTCGTAAAAACTGTACTGTAGCTGAGGCAGTATACAGATACAATGTTACCCCGCTGAATGACCAGACAGCCGACTCTGCACCGGCAAATATGCTGTACCGATATGAGCTGCGCGTACAAGGTCTCGAAGACCAGGCGACGCCGGTGCCCCGTGTGTGCGAAACGTCTGACGGGGAGGGACGTGGCCGCTCGCTGTATCGCCCCGGGGACAGTGTGTGGGTCCGACCGCCTCGTGCTCGCTGTGACACAAGGTACGGGAGAGGAGAGGTGACTCGTGTCATCTCCGACCAGTGTGTCGAAGTGGATGGGGTGCCGAGACACGTCCGAGAACTACGCCGCCGTTCACGCTCAGAGTGCGGCACCGGTGACGCGGAGAGTGACGAGAGTGATGGTGAGCCGTTAATGCTGATTTGGCCCCGAACTGCAGGAGGGGACGAGCGTGATGGGCGCGGTGAGAGGGACGAGCGTGACCTGCCAGGTGCCGATGGGGATAATGTACATAGCGATGGCGAGGGAGACATGTTCGAGCCGCCGCGCCCGAGAATGTCTGGACGGATCCGTAGGCCGAATCTCCGCTACTCTGAGTGCTGCTGACATGTATGACTTGAAAGTCAGGGGGGAGTGTGTGATGTGTGTGTGATGTGTGAGCCATGGTTCAGCGGGCTTTGGCCCGTATAGTGTTATTTACGGGTTAGCGGGCCGTGATCCGTCTCGCGCGTCGGCTCCTACCCGTAGCGCAGCCGCCGCCCGCCAGGTGTGGAAGTGGGCGGGGCCTGGCCGGCAGTCGGAGTCGTGGGACGGCCGGGAGTGGATGTGCCGCAGTTATGGTCGAGCATTGATATATATATATATACAATCAGTTACAGTTGGGGGTAAGCTTGGCCACTCGCCCGGGGTTACCCCAATGTGCTAATTTTTATTTTAGAACAGCGATATTCGAAAAAATGTCATACTTAAGCCAGCCTGCCTCGTCACCCCTCACTACAAACACTTAAACGGTCCTTACATAACATTCGTATAAATATTAGTTCTGTATGGTATAACATTAACAGTGCAAGATATCTCACTTTTTAGCTAAAAACCCTTAAAATATCATTTTTGCGCTATAACTTACACAATATGCAATTTTTGTCAGCCTTAACTTTTTTGCTGGCGTTACCTTAGCTGCCACGCTGAAAGGACAAACAGTTGAGCATTTTATTGTGAGTAATTTAGCCGGAAACGGGGTGGCCGGGCTTCCCCCGGCTTCCCCTATAGACTATTGCATTTGCATGTTTTAGCGTTAGATACAGCGGGCGACCGGCGAACTGAACGTCTGCCTGCATTATTCATCTGACAAGCTGTCAGGAGGACTTCTGGTCAGTGTCATGCCTATTCGAATCGATGCGGCGCCATGATGTACGAGTATTGCAATGAGCCATGGAGGGGCGCTCCTTTTCTAGTTAGGCCGGGAAGTACCCGGCGTGCAGCCCAGCAATGCAGACACGGGCAGCCCGTAAAACGCCCACGCAAGGAGCCGCTGACGTCATCCTGGCGAGTGTCGGGCGGTCGGCCGGGGCCGCGGCGAACGCACCCACTGCACTGGCTTGCGGCGGCTAGTACCGACTACCGAGCACCGAATACCCAGGCCTGCAGATCTGCGGAGACGTTAGACGGGGAGCACGGGTGTGGACGCTATGACAGGAGTCGGGCCCGGTGAACAGTGTCATTTGTCGCTGGGTGTCGCGGGGACATGAGTGATCTTCCCAGCGCGAGCCAACCGGCAGGTCCCTTGAGCGCTCCGTCCGCGTTCCGCCACTATCTGAGCTGGCATCCTGCCGCGCGAGTCGACGGACGGAGGCCTGCCACGAAATGTCAGAGCCGACAGAGACCGGCGAGGGATGCGGCCGTCGTGCCCCGGTCGGGATGCTTGCATTCCGGCCTTATGTAAACATGCATGCTCCCCGAACGTCAACGTCCGTCCAACCTACCCCCGTGCGCAAGACATTAGCGTAGGACACTTAGCGTGAGAAATGAGCGCGATAAGTGCACCACTTTTATAGTGACTCAGTGAGCGCTGTTGGTGTGACATTTCTCCGAGTGGTTGTAAAGTTACTCCTACCCAAGCGCCCTTCAGGCACTCCTTCTGCTGGAGTTCCATACCGACTTTTCACATTGTGCATACATACTCGTAGATATACTTGAGGTAGCTTGGTAGTCATTAAAAATACTTTTTTAAATAAATCACGTCCATTTGTTGTAGATTAACCCTATTAGTGGCAGGCTCCTGGCTACCCCTATTAGTGGCAGGGGGCTGTTTACGACCCCCCCCCCCCCTGATATCTCGAGATCTAACGGGCCGATTTTCAAAATTCAAACGGCATTCGATTTCGCTCAACGTGATCTACATTTCTAAAAAAAAAAATTAAAAATGTCAATAGGGGGGTAGAGGAGGGTAAAAACGGGCAAATTGCAGATACATTTTAGACTGTTTATCACAGCCAGGTTTCAGAACCAATCTTAACGCAACTTTTGCCGATCGATAGAGAATGAACCAGGAATTCACATGGATCCTAAAAATATGCATTTTCAAAAATCATAGGCGGATACAGATCATTGAGATTGGGGGTACACAAAAAGTATAGTAAATAAGGTTTTTGTTGGTACTGTTTCTAAAAAGGGTGGTAATGGTCTTGTTATGTTACAATTTTCTTATGAGAGAACGACTACAATTGCATTGGTCATGCATAGGCGGTGTCAGGGCACCTATGTTGGGAGGTAAAACATAACCACCCTTTTTGGACGCCTGGATCCGCCTATTATGGCAAAAACGTGTCAAAAGAGGATGCACAATAACTTTGTATATGCTATCACATGATACCTTTCATTCACTGTTCGTAAAACTGGTGCATACAGTTATAATACATCAGCATCGTGATCTTCGCCCAAATGACTCGCTTCACGAATAGGACCCCCCAATTCCCAGTGCTCTGGAGCCGCCCCTGGTAAAGTTATGAACTTGAAATTTTCAGGGAATGTGCCCAATTTAGTTTTAGGAAAAGTCAGAAAATTTCAGCATCGTAGCTTCAGCGGTTTCGGAGATATTCCCGAAAAACCTGAGGGGTGGATGAAAACAACCCCCCCTGCCACTAATAGGGTTAAGACTAGGTATATTTGTAGTTATAAGTACCTACTGTTATATTTACAGGCCGCTCCATGCACTGGACCTCGCATGTGGGTTGCGAGTTTTTGGATTTCGGGTTTCTTAAAAAAAAATACGCTCTGTGTGTTGAGTGACGCGCACCATCATGTAACAACCCAGTCTGCATATTTTTAGCATGCAAGCCAACTTTCATCGCATTCCAAAAGTTGATTTTGAGTCAACTTTCGATTTTCCTCGCTCCGAGGGCTGCGAGTTTTGGTGTATTTTGTTGAAGTCGAATTTTGGTTCGTTGTGCTGTTATTGCGATAATATGCAATTTTCTGCAAGGTTGTACCGGCTTCACTGCATTCACGTAGTGACCATAAGAGAATGGTTTAATCACTCCATGAATGAGTATTTTACCCGCGAATCCAAAACTCGCAGACTCGCAACCCGCATGCAAGGTCCAGTGTGGGGCGGCCTTAAACCTTGCCGAACCTATTGGTTTTCTACATACGCGCCGGCCAAGGGGGGAGGGGCGGGCCGGGTATGACCCCCCTCGCCGTTTCGCCTCTGGTGGAACTACCGCGTCGCGAAAAAAAACGAGCGTGTGCGCCGTTACGAGACGCAGAAATTGGTACCCGATTCTAAGGTCCTAGGTCAACCGGTGACCTCTGGGGTCAGGTCAAGTGCCCTAAGGTACGGTTCAGTTTTTGGTGAATAACTTCGCAAAAAACTGCCACAGAGCCGCGATTTTGGCAGCATCGTGTTCGCCTCGCTCAGGAGCGTCGAATGATATAGGTACTACACCTTTTTGCGTTAGCTTTTGACCATTGGGCAAAACATTTGTACACATTCACCATATAGATGGCGCTACAAATGGGCGGTTGGTCAAAAAGAATCACCATTGTGCAAAACTGTTCGGCGATCCTTCTCTACAACTCGACATTGAGCGAATGGTTCAACATTGTGCAAAACAAATCGTCAATAGTCGAAACTATTCGTCATTGAGCAGCCGGGAATTCATGATTAGCCAAAATCGTCTATGGAAATTTCAGCATTCATAAAACAGATCAGCAATGATCAAAACAAATGATCGTGTGCACTGGCGGCCGCAAGGGGTATGGAGCAGCTCATGGGGCCCAATCCTTGACATTTCCCTCATATAACCGAGTGGATGATAGAACAGGCACACCGGGCGGCCAGTAAGTGTTCACTGGACGAGA